GATCCCAGAGGAAAACCAGAGCCTTGCACATCATCCCTGCAGCTTTGGAGGAAAACTGCACCTTGTGCAGGAGCCCTGCTCCAGCAGAACCACATCTGTCACTGCAGGAGGATGCAGCCACCATGGGATGGGACTGCACCAACCCTGACTGACTGACGGGGGCACCTTGGATTCTCACTCTCTCTGCCCTTGCTCTGGGTTTGTTCTCTGCAATACTGCATTGCTATTTTAATTTTCCTAGAACTGTTATTCCTATTCCCATATCTGTGCCTGAAAGCCCCTTAATTTCAAAATAATCTGGAGGGAGAAGGTTTACATTCTCCATTTTAAAAAGAGGCTCCTGCCTTCCTTGGCAGACCTGTCTCTGAACCCAGGGCACTCACCCAGCCCCTCGCTGTCCTCGAAGGTCTTGTGGACGGTGTGGCAGGTGGAGCCGTCCCCGTGGCACACCCCACAGCGATCCTCCACTGCCTGAGAGTCGATCTCGTAGTCACAGCCCACGTTCTGCAAGGGAGCCCCACACCCAGCACCCCCCAGTCACTGGCTGCATCATCTCCAGGGCATTCACACAACCCTGGCACGGCTTGGCTTGGCAGGGATGCTAAACCCAACCCACATTGGATTTATCCTGACACCAGCTCCCTCCCAGCCCCATCCATCACGGCCTGGGCTGTGCTCTGGCTCCTTGAGGCCACACAGAGACTGACCCAGCCCACACCACTCACCCCAGGGGAACAGGATCGCTCTCCACGGGGGGAACGGCAAAAGGAATGAGCTCAGCACGAGAGGGGGGCAACGCTGAGCACCCAAGGGTGGGTGCCAGCCCGGGGTGTCCCTGTGTGCCCCCAGCCCCACCTTGCAGATGCCATTGATGCAGATGTCCCTGCTGGAGTCGCTGTCGTAGCACGGGGTCCCGTCCAGCACCGCGTCCCGAAGCTTCTCCGCAAAGAACTCGCGCTCGGGCCGGCAGTGCAGCTCACAGGGGTTCACTGGGGAAAAAACAGCCCCAAAATCACACCCCAGCCCTGCAGTGCAGCTCACAGGGGTTCACTGGGGAAAAANAAAACAGCCCCAAAATCACACCCCAGCCCTGCAGTGCAGCTCACAGGGGTTCACTGGGGAAAAAACAGCCCCAAAATCACACCCCAGCCCTGCAGCCCAGCCTCAGTGTAAAATACTCAATTCAGCACCACCAGGCTGCAAGGCTGTGCTGTCAGAATCCTGAAGCCTGGGAGTTTGGAACTTTCTGTGCTTTCTGACACTGACCCCAGGAGAACACTGCTTTTGACTTGAGGCCTTGGAGAAGGCTTCCAAATTTGGGTGATGGAGTTGGAATCACTGGTGTGTAGTTTGGATAGAGGTGTGTAATACCACATGGTGAAGGGATTGGAATTTTGGGTTTTAGAATATAGTAATAGGAATGGGGCAGGATGGAGGCCCTTGGGCTCTTCTTCCTTCTTGTACCTTCTTCATGATTTCAGGTACTGGTTTTTGGTTGGTTAGAAAGTACTGCAGTGCAGGTCATTTGGTCATTGGGTCAAAAGTATAAATAAAATAAATGCTAGCATTCAATTGGATCGTTTCCCTTTAAAAGAGCTAGATCTACTGACATTTTTCTCCCTTTTAGCTTGTTAGCTAGAAGTGCTGCAGGACTCTCTGTACCATAGATAAGAATTAATAAACAGCTGAGCCTGAGCAACAAAATCCATCTCTGGTGCTCCAATCCTGACTCTGAGTGAAGGCAGAAGAAAAAAAGCAGCCAGGCACTGATCTGTGGAAACCCTAAGAGGACACAAACACAACCCCAGCCGCTCACAGAGCCGTGTCTGAGCATCCCCACGTTCTGGGGTCCCTGCCCCCCACTCACAGCTGTTGGGCACCGGTGTCCACTTGTAGAGTTTCCCTTTGTAGAGCATGGGGTTGAAGTGGCTGCACTGGAGCTGGCGGAAGGAGGGGCTGCCCTGGGGACAGCGCCGCACGTTACAGATCCGGAACCGCCGCCGCTCCCCCAGGCAGAACCGGCCCCCGTACTTGGGCCTGGGGAGGAAACGGGGTCACCAAACACAGAAACAGTCACAAAACAGAGAAACAGAGTCACCAAACACAGAAACAGAGTCACCAAACACAGAGTCACCAAACACAGAAACAGAGTCACCAAACACAGAGTCACCAAAGAGAGAAACAGAGTCACCAAAGAGAGAAACAGAGTCACCAAACACAGAAACAGAGTCACCAAACACAGAGTCACCAAACACAGAGTCACCAAACACAGAAACAGAGTCACCAAAGAGAGTCACCAAAGAGAGAAACAGAGTCACCAAACAGAGTCACTAAACAGAGTCACCAAACAGAGTCACTAAACAGAGTCACTAAACAGGAGTGACAAAACAGGAGTGACAAAACAGGAGTGACAAAACTGGAGTGACAAAACTGGAGTGACAAAACTGGAGTGACAAAACTGGAGTGACAAAACTGGAGTGACAAAACAGAGTCACACAAACAGGAGTGACAAAAACAGAGTCACAAAACAGAGTCACACCGAGCGGGGCTCACAGGCACACTGCCCACAGGCACACAGCTCACAGGCACACAGCTCACAGGCACACAGCTCACAGGCACACTGCTCACAGGCACACAGCTCACAGCTCACAGGCACACTGCTCACAGGCACACTGCTCACAGGCACACAGCTCACAGGCACACTGCTCTGCAGTGCTTTGGCTTGGTCGAAGCCCATCCCTGTTCCATCCCCTTCCTCAGGCTGCCCCAGCCAGGGCCTGTCCTGTGCTCTCTCCATCCCAGCCAGGGGCTCCTCCTGGCTCTGCTCCTCCCCTGCCCCAGGGAATGGCAAAGCTGACACTGAACTTTCCAAAGCAAGGGAGACTTGAGAAGCATCCCGTGTTTTTCTCAGGTGCCAGCAGACCCTCACAACACAGGCACCATCTCCTTTCCCCTTGGTCACACCACTGTCCCTGTGTCCTGTGAAAACTCCTTCTCCTGGGCACACTTGGCTAACAGAATGAAGCTAATGATTATTTCAGGGCTGTGTTTACACGCTCTGCCCTGAGGGAATGGCTGTGGGAGGGGGAAATGCCCAGCACATATTTTCTCACTTCATCCCAAGGGCAAACATGAAGATTTACCTCCAGTGGCCAAAGCAAACAACTGGAAATTCCCAGTGTTTGCTCTCCTGCCTGTCCACAGCTGTGTGGACACAGCTCCATAAAGCACCACAGCACCTCTGCCACAGAGTTTATGTCAAACACAAATCCAGGTCTTGACCCAGGACCCAGATGACACAGAACTTCCCTCAAGAGCCCAACAGCACGTGCCCGAGGAAGAGGATGGGCAGAGCTCGTCTGGAAGGGTCAGGAGCTCACTCCTGGGCTGCCCCAGCTCCCCATGCCATGGAAAAGTGACTCCCCTGGAACATCACTGCAAAGCCCTTTTCCTTTTCCTTTTCCCTTTTCCTCCCCATCCCGGGGTGCTCTGACACCAGGGCAAGCCAGAGGTGTTGGCTGAACGCAGTGCAACAGGGATTTGGTGACCAAGGGCACATCTGGGGAGCCCAGAAATGCCTGGATGGAGATGGCAGCTCCTCCAGCACTGCCTGGACACTTCCAGCCAGCGCTGGCTCATGGAATGCAGCAGGGTGATAAACTGCAGCAGGATTTTTCAAAACAACTCTGAATCAGGCTCCAAGAATGCCTGCTCTGCTGTTCTGTCACTAAAGGACGCTGGAAATGTTTCACATCTCCCAGCCTGGAGCCTCTGCCCTTTGTTTGAGTCCAACACTCCCAGGGCAGGGGATGGAACCAGGTGCCCTCCACCCCAAAGCAGCCCAGGGCTCTGTGGCTGCTCTGTGGCTGCTCTGGGCAGCCTGGGGACAGGGCTGGCTTACGTGGGGTGGCTGCAGTGCCTCTCAGCACTCTGCACTCCTGCCCCACAGCTGCGGGAGCAGGAGGCCCAGGAGCTCCAGGAGCCCCAGGCACCATCGATGGGCTGGGGCCGGTAGCCCACGGGGACACACTCGCCATTGAAGCACCACTGTGGGGACAAGAGGAGAACACAGGGTTAGGGGTGGGGAGCACAGGGGCCCAGCACAAAGATTGCCCCGTGGAAATCCCTGCTCTGCGTGCATGGACGTGCCTGGGGCCAGCTGGGCTCTGCCAGAGCCTGGAGCAATGGGAAACTCAGAGGTGGTGGAGGATTTAAAGGGGGCAACAAACCCAAAGCTCCACAGAGACCCCTCAGCAAGGGGATTCACAGCCCAGAGGGGCTCAGAGCTGCCTCCCAGCAGTGGGGGAGACCCCAGGGAGGAGCATCCACCATGGGTGCAGAACCAGCCCCGTGCCCTCCTGCCATGGCCGTTAACTGTGGGGTCACCTTCCCAGGTGATCCAAGGGATCCCAAGTGAGGGCAGCCCCTGCTGGGATGAGCCCAGCCCTGCACTGGACCCTGCACAGCCCCTGTGTGTCCCCAAGGCCATGGAGGGGTGTCCCCCCTTACCTTGCTGTCCCCACACGCCGTGCCATCGACAGCTGCATCCAGCTTGGAGTGACACGTGGTCCCCACTGTGCACCACAGCGTGTGACACACACTCTGGGGGAGCAGAGGGACAGGGTTACTGCCTGGCACTGATCCAGCCCTGGGCACAGATCAGATCCCTGGGCACAGATCAGATCCCTGGGGCACAGATCACATCCATCCCTGGACACAGATCAGATCCATCCCTGGGCACAGATCAGATCCATCCCTGGGGCACAGATCACATCCATGGGCACAGATCAGATCCATGGGGCACAGATCAGATCCATCCCTGGGGCACAGATCAGATCCATCCCTGGGGCACAGATCAGATCCATCCCTGGGCCACAGATCAGATCCATCCCTGGGCCACAGATCAGATCCATCCCTGGGCCACAGATCAGATCCAGCCCTGGGGCACAGATCAGATCCAGCCCTGGGCACAGATCAGATCCAGCCCTGGGGCACAGATCAGATCCATCCCTAGGGCACAGATCAGATCCATCCCTGGGCCACAGATCAGATCCAGCCCTGGGCCACAGATCAGATCCAGCCCTGGGACACAGATCAGATCCATCCTGGGACAGGGTGAGCACAAGCCCAGCAAAGCCCCCCCTGAGCCCCCCAGAGCCCCCACTCACGTCCATGTCATCACAGAAGGTGGAGTAGGGGCCGTACTGCAGCCTGCACTGGTGGCTCACATCGTACAGGACCCCCGGGGGCACCAGGGGAAAGTCCAGCACCTCCTGGGCTGGGGGGTCATCCAGGCACAGCCCCCAGCCCCTGCTGAAAGAGAGAGGAGCCAGCAGAGTCAGGCCAGGTGCCCAAGAGGAGCTGGGCAGTGGCCCAGGGTGAGGAGCAATCAGCATTTCCCTGCCTCTGCCATCCCTGGATTGGTGTGCACGGACACCTCTGGGTACCTTTTTGGGGTGGGAACCCCCCCAGAGTGATGCCCCCACGGGGTGGCAGGGCATGGGGAAGGTGAAGGGACAACAACCAAGAATGTCCTGGTGGAGCCACAACCTCCAGAGCTGTCCCTGCAGACCCTGCTAACAGGGATAAAGGAGATTTTCAGCAGCCAAACGTGCTCACCCCCGTGCTGCCACCAGAGCAGGGCTCAGCCCAGGCTGGGCAGGATTTCCCTGGAGCAGAGGGGGCAGTGGAGTGGCCAAGGCAGGCAGTGCCTCCCTCTGCTCCAGCAGCTCCTGCTCTGGCACTTCCCAAACACACACTGAGCTGTCTGCACTCCAGCCCTGGGTGTCGATTTAAACAAACTCCTCTCCAGCAAGGCCGAGCCTCTGGCCAGGCTGTGCTGGATCAGATTACTGGCCTTGCTGTGCTTGGGAACTCTGAATTAACTTGCACTGAGATTCCTTTTGAACCCAAACACGGAAACAAGGGCTGGGAGCAGGAGAGCTCCTGCTCTGCAGGGCTGCCAGTGCCAAGGGGTGATGGCCAGCAGAGCCAGCACCCCGTCCTCCCTCTCCCATCCCACCAAATCCCACACTGCACACAGCTCCCTTGGCTGGAGACAGCCCCTTCAACTGCCATGTATATCCTTACTGAGATATATTACATTTCCCTATGGGAAAAACCAGGAAATGAGATGCTTTCAGCAGCCCAGGGGCTCGAAAGTCTCCATTTCCAAATTCCCAACACCAGGAGCATCCTGCTGCTCCCACAGCAGGATCCCTGTGGGTGCTGAGCTGGGATGGATGGAGCATGCATTGGGCAGCTCCTGGTGCAGCCTGTGTCAGGCACACACTGCCTGGCACCTCCCCACTTATTTCCACTGAACCACAGAATCCTGGAATCCTTCCTGGAAAAACTCCAGGCTCCAGCACTTCATGCTGGATGAGCCCCAGGTGTGACACTCGTGCTGCTCTAGGCCCTTCACCCTTTTCCTGTTTGGGGTGAAGGGGCCCCACAGGTCCCCCCTCCACTGTCCCCAGCCTCCTGCTCCCCTTGGAGCCTTCCCTGTCTCTGTCCAGCCTGGGGGTGATTGGGATCTGCCTCCACATTCCAGCTTTTCCAGAACCTATTTCCCTGTTAGATATTTTACAATCATTCTCCTGGTCTGTTCAATTGGCCAAAACACATCTCCAAGCAGGGAAAAATTGGCCTGAGTTTCCCTCTGGCTTCCAGGGATCTGCAGTAAATCCCAGTCCAGAGGGAAAGATGCAGGGGCCTGCCCTGCTCTGCCTGTTCCAGCCCAAGCTGGAGGATGGAGTGCATGGAACAATCATTAAATCCCCATCTGTGAGCAGCCTGAGAGGATCTGCAGATACATTTGAGAGCAGGATTAAAATTCCAAAAGCTCCCAGAGAACTGGAGGAAGGGTCCAAAAAAGCCAGGACAGAATTCAACAAAAACAAAAGGCAAAGCTTGGAGCTTGGGAAGAACGAGGAGCACAGCCATGGAGCTGGGGGGTGGCACAGGATGGCACAGAGGGGAAGGGCAGAGTCCTGGCAGGAGCAGGATGATGAAAAGGAGCCCCAGCACTGTGGAAATGTGTTTGTGTGATGCAGAGCAAAGACTGAAGGGTCCCTGCACCACCAGAGCATCACCCTGGGCCAGCATCCTGAGCGAGGGGACACCTTCCTTGGGGACAGCAGGGACAGGACCTCTGCCAGGGTCCCCTCGTGGCCAGGCACACCCTGACTGGAGCCCCAGCTGCAGCCAGTGCTGGAATCCCTTTGAGATGCTCCAACAGTCGGCAGTGCTTGTGAAATAATAATTTTCCTGTGTAAAATAATCATCATCACCATCTGGGAGCGTGGCTTTTCTGCCAGTGTGGTTTTTCTGAACGTTGAGGTCTGTTCTGAGCACATCCAGCATCCCCAGGTCAGCAGGGTCCCTTTTCCTGCCTCCCTGCCTCCTGTTCTGCCAACACCCCATCAGAGCAGCCCCTGGCCCTGGGGAGTCACAGCCCCAGGGGAGTTCTGCTCCTTCAGGGGGTGCAAAGACACCAAAACCCCACCAGAGGAGTTTCCAGCTGCTCTGTCTCCCCACCACAGCTCAGGGTCATCACAAGCACGAAATTCTTCACCCCCAAGTGAAGGTTAAAGCAGAGGGCCAGGAGTGCTGGGGGTGCAGGAAAACCCCACTCCTCTGCAAGCCATAAATCAGAATAATTCCCCCTGCACACGTGGGGCCAAACCCACACGGCCCAGGCTGGGATTTGGGACCGTGGAATGCCTGGCCCTGCTCTCCCCTCGCTGCTCCTCAGCTTTCAAACCTCCCTGCAGCAAGGGAGGGAAATGTTGTCCAGTGTGAGCCCCTGGCTGACAAACCAAACTCTGGGCTGTGTTCCTTGGAACTTCCTAACAACAGCCTGAAAAATCAGCCACGGGTGCTAAAAATAAACAAAGGCAGGGAGGAATTTGGCTGGGTCTGGTTTGCCCACGGCAGGCAGAGAAAATCGGGGAGACTCTGCAGAACCTGCAGAGAGCATGGAGGGAAAACACTCCGGATTTATCCGAGCAACCACAGCCCCAAAAAACTCCTGACCCCCCCTTCACAGCACAGTGAGGCAACCCAGGGAGGATCCACGGAATGGTTTGGGGGGAAGGGACCTTAAAGCTCATCTCATCCCACCCCTGCCATGGGCAGGGACAGCTCCCACCGTCCCAGGCTGCTCCAAGCCTGGGGACACTGCCAGGGACGGGACAAAGACCCCCAACACTCAGAGAGGTGATTTTAGAGGTGGGAGCACCCCCCATGCGAGGGCCCTGAGCCCCAGCAGTGAGGAGGAAGGGGAGGAAGAGGAGGAAGATGAGGAAGGGGAGGAGGCACTCACTCGAGGAAGCGTGTGATGTACTCGCGGCTGCAGCGGGACCAGGTGAGTGGGGACGTGTCATACAGGAGCTGTGGAGACATGATGAAAGGTCTTTTCCCAACTGGCTCACAGTCATTGCTGCTTCCATCATGCTGAATCCCAAAACTGTGTAAGAGCACAGCCCACGGAGGGGAGGTGAGCCACGACCACCAGAGCCACCCCAGCCACCACACACAGGAGCAGGGACCTGCCCAGGGGACCCTGAACTTTCTCCTGTGCTTTCATGTCTGCTTTCCCACTGAAAACCCGGGAATATTCCACAGGATCGTGCTGGGGGGTGTTTTCCCACACAGGGCTGTCCATGGGGAACTGCAATGGCCGAGTGACCTCGTGGAAATGCAACTGCAACTGGGGCAAGCAGAATTCTGTGGCTGACATTACAGACACATCCTGCTTCAAAACTTCTCAGTGGGCAAGCCCTGCTCCAAAACCTTCCCAGACCACCCCAGGACGACACACAAGTGCAATTTCTCCAGGTTTCCTTACATTACGTGGTTCTCATTAACCCAAAACACTTAACCCTGGAATGAAATCCTCAGGGAGCGAGGGAGTGCCTGCACCCGAGAGGAACCACTGGGGAACCACGTCCCAACTTCCCCCCCGTGCCTTGTGCAGCCCCAGGGATGGAGGAGGAGGAGGAGGAGGAGGAGGATGGTGGTACCTGTGTCCCAGCTCGTGGGCCACGGTGAAGGCGAGGGGCAGCCCCGTGTCCTCGTTGATGTTGCAGCTCCGGTGGGGCTGGCACATTCCAGCCACGTGGGACAGCCCCAGGGTCTCGCAGGGCCGGTTCATGGCAGCACAGATGTCCTTCCTTGGCCGAGGGGACGGGCACGCACGGACACACAGACACACACAGAGCACAGAGGGCGTTGGAAGGCGGCAGGACCCGGCCCAGGGACAGCAGCCAAACAGGAGTGAGGATGGAGACATCCAACATCCTTCCACAGGGGAAACATCCATGACCTCTCCTCCCCCCTTCCCTCTGCCAGTATCCCCAGCTCGTTATTAAGCCTGATTAATGGGAGCTGCTGGCCAGCCTGGCCACGTTTATTCCCTTGTATAAATAAAGCTGATGCTGGGGATAATCAAGCAGTGCTATGGGGAATCTCATCCCAGCACATCCCAGAGGTGCTGTGGTTTTTCCAGGGCAGCTCCAGCCACCCAGGAAGAACAGCCCCACTGAAGCCTGAGGTGCCTCATTTCTGCTACAAAGCAAGAAGATGGAGCTGCTGTGGGTTGTGAATCATCACCCAAAACACCACAGCAGCCAGCTCAAAAAAAAAAAAAAAAAAAAAAGCAGCCTGAAAGCCTCAAACCAGGCTTTGACTGCTAGGTACACAAACTTGGCCAGGGGCAGGAATTCCTGCCAGCTCCATGGGAGGTCAGGGGCTTCCCAGAGGCTCCTCTGCCAAGCCCAGCCCCAGAGGGAAAAGGAGAATTAATCCTGGGAGGATCCAGCCCTTCTGGGGCTTTGCAACAGGGCCACGGTGAAAACCTGGCTTGGAAAGCTCAGCTGGGAGCTGTGCCCAGGTCTAAACCTGAGATCTGAGACCAGTCCAGGGAATCACAGACTCATGGAATGGGTTGGGTTGGAAGGGATTCTAAAGATCACCTAAACTCCAGCCCTGCCACGGGCAGGGACACCTTCCACAGCAGCTGCAGCCACCAGGAAACAGCCCCGAATTTCACATTGCACACCTTACACACAGGCAGGGACAGCGAGATTCCAACAGCTCCCACGGGGATGTTCCCCTGCCTGCCCCCACCTGCAGCCAGGTGAGTTTTTAGCAGCCCCAGCCCCAAACCTGTGTGGGCTCCACACCTGGTGTGGGACACACATTGAGAAAGTAAGAAAATTACAGCCTGAAAAATATTCCAGGCTGGAGCTTCTCAGCTCTGTTCCCAGCCCATGAGCTGCTCCAGCTCAAGGCCAGGGAGAATTTCTCCCAGGGTGATAATTTGGTCACAATAAAAAGGAATTAATACCAAGAGAGAAGCCCTGTTGTGGTGTGTGCCCAGGCCTGGCAATGGGGTGTCTTCTCTCTGAACCAATCTCCTTTTCTCTACTCTGGGAGTTGCAGCCATGCCATAAAACCAAGCGTGTTCCTGAATAAACTTGGCTCTTCCTTCCCATCATAAAAAACAACCGTGGAGCTGTGCATCTTATTTCTGCCGCACTTAAAGGGTTAAAAGCCCTTCCCAGGGCTACACACCTGGTGAGCAGCACGGCCACGTCGTGGTGCAGGGGGTGGGAGTCTCCCTTCACGTTGATGCTCTTCTGCCACTTGCAGAAGCTTCTCAAGGTGTTGTCTGCGTGGTGGGAGATCTTCAGGTCCTCCTGCCAACACAAAGGGAGATCTGCTGGAGCCCTTTGGATTTTGGGATGGGGAGGGGAGAGGTTTGACCCCAGCCACGTCAGAGTGGGACTGGGAGTGGCTGCCCTGCAGATGGAATCGCTCCATGTTTACAGGACAGCCCTTTTCCTGCTTTCTTTTCATCTGTGATTCAACCAAAACATTAAATCATCCAGTACCAGGGGTTAAGAACCACAGCAGGAAAACCCCCTGTGCTGGCTGGGAGTGAAGGACTGGGGAGACCCCGAGTGGCCTCAGACCCCCCAGAGCCACCAGAGCAGCCTGGACACGACCACCCAATGCCCCAGAGCCCTGTGCCACCTCACTGGCACCGTGCCACCATAAACCACCCCTAAACCAGGCTCTGCAGCACCCCTGCCACCTCACTGGCACCGTGCCACCATAAACCACCCCAAAAACAGGCTCTGCAGCCCCCCTGGCTCTACCAGGCAAACGTGGGCACCTGGATTTCTGTTCCCAGGCTGAGCCAGGCCAGGAGCAAAGCCCAGCAGGGATCCTGGTGCCCCAGCCCAGCTCCCAGCCCAGCCAGGCCGGGCTCAGCCCAGTCTGGGTCTCACCTCCTCGTGCTCCAGCAGGATGAGCCTCACTATGGCAATGTTGATGGGGTTCCCAATGCTGGCGTGGTGGAACAGCCCTGCCACCTGCAGAGGGACAGCCATGGGACACAGGGACAGCCATGGGGACACAGGGACAGCCATGGGGACACGGGGACAGCCATGGGGACACGGGGACAGCCATGGGGACACTGCTGGACACGGGGACAGCCATGGGACACAGGGACAGCCATGGGACACAGGGACAGCCATGGGGACACAGCTGGACACGGGGACAGCCATGGGGACACGGGGACAGCCAGGACACTGGTGCAGGGGAGGTGCTGCAGGTGTTGACAACACCTCAGGAATTCCCCCCGTGGGAGGCAGGAACAGACACCCGGGGTGAGCTGGGCCATGAAATCCCAGCACCCTGAGAGGAGCTGGCACACTCTGGAACCCAGGCAGAAAGGCCTGGGGAACCCTCTGCCCCCACTCCTGCTGGATGTGTTCAACTTCTCAAAGGAATTCTGGGTGCACCCACCACCCCCAGGAACCCTGGGATGTTCCCTGGGGTTCTCTGCCCAGCCCCACCTTTCCCCTGGAATGCCAGGAGGGGCAGCCCCAGCAGCTGAGCCACCCCCAAACCTGCTCGTTTCACAGCAAGACTCTAAGAGGTGCAGAGAGAACTCGTGTTTTTGAGAAAGAATGTTTTAGATTCGTGGTTTTAGCCCGTTGGATGATTTATGAATATAATTCCCTGTATTGGGGTGACACACACACACAGAAAAAGAGAAGAAGAAATGGAAGAAGAAGAAATGGAGGAAGAAGATGAGGAGACAGAAGAAGAAGAAGAACAACAACAAGAACAGACAGGAGAAGAACAACAAGAAGAAGAAATGCCAGGGGACAGGAGAAGGAGAACAAGAAGAAGAAAAATGCCAGGGGACAGAAGAAGAAATGCCAGGGAGCTGCTGCTGCTGCTTCCACTCAGGACTCTATCCCAGAAAACTTTAATATTCTGAACTCTTTGCCTTCAAGACTGCTGCACTCATGCAATAAACAACTTTACAGCAGCCACCAAGTGCTCCTGTCCCTTCTGCAGCCCCGGGGTCACAGGAGGAGCCCTCACCATGTTCATGACGGTCAGCACGTACTTCTCCACGTTGGCACTGCCATGGAACTCCACCATCTTGGGGTCTGCCACCACCAGGGTCTCCACCCACTTCTCCCTGCTGATGGAGCGCTGCTTGATCCTCCTCCTCCTCCTCCTCCTCCTGTGCTGCCTCTGCTCCCACCTCTCCCTGCTCCTCTCTGACTGCTCCAGGCTCTCCTGAGACTCTGGGGGATTTCAGGGGAAAAAAAAAAAGATTTCCTTGATAAAATGCCTGCAATTTTAATATCTTTAATATCTTTAATTCAAAGGAATCACCTTTGATGTGGAGCAGGCTCCACACTTAGACCCATAACTCAATAACTCGTGTGGATTTTGCTGTGCTCTGTCCCAAAGGACTCAGAGTTCAGCTTGCTGCACATGAGCAGGACACACACACAAAAAAAATAAACAAAGCATTTCAAGGAATTTCTTTGACCAGAACAGGGTTTGCAATATTCCACAAAGAACAGGGAGCCTCCCAAAGCAGAGTCTTAATGTTTAGGAATTTATACAGACAACCCTGCAGAGATGCTTGAGAAAAAAACCCGGTGGCTCAACATTTCAGGTCATCCCAAATCTGCATTTTTCAGGAAGGGACAGTTCCCATCACCACAAACTCAGTGCCCCCAAAGCTGGAGCCAGCACAGAGATCCCCTGAGGCACAGGAGCCCGGGCTCTGCTCCTTCCCAAGGGGAAACAAGGGAACGTTCACTGGGCTGGCTGAGTGTGGAGGAGGAGGAGGAGGAGGAGGAGGAGGGCTCCTCACGCACACCAGGCACTGGGAATTCTCCAGCAGGGACTTTTCCTGTGACACAGATCCGAGAGCAAGGTCAGGGTCAGCCCCAAGCTGGGTGAAGGCTTTACAAACCTCATCCCACACAGTGGGAATCAGACTCGGCCTCTCTTCCCTAACAATGGGCTCCTGCATTCCCTGGGCCAGCTGTGAAAAGGGTGTTTCATCCCCTGGCCCCAAAAATCCCAACTATCTGCACCTCTTGAGGAATTGCTAATCCCACGGTGACAATTTAATCACAGCAGCTTCCTTGGAGCTCCCGTTGTGTCCTTGGCTGCTGAGATGGGGCCTGAGGCTGCTCGGGGGTCCCCTGGGGCATTTCCCCTTGGGGTGATCCCTGTCAAAGCCTCCCAGCCGAGCCCTGTGCACTGACAGGGGTTAAACAGCACCAGCAGCCTGTCCTGGGCAAAGCAAACAGCAACACGTCCTCAGTGAGAGGATGGCAGCCACTAAAATCCCCCAGACTCTTTTGGGATTCCTCTGCAGGGCATGCACAGCACATGCCCCCCACCAGACCCAACTACAGAGATCCACGTGAGTTACACACAGGCCAGGGTACACCCAGGGAAATTAATTTTCAAGAATAAACTTCAAAGTCCAGAGTGGACTTGAGTCAAGAACAAACTTCAAAGCCTAGAAGAAGCCATTAAGATTATTGCCCCAGATTGAATAATTAATTTAGATTATCAGAAGAATGCCTGAAGATAACCCTATTATAGAAGCCAACCCCAGTTTGTGAAAGCAGAGAGCTCCAGGAAATGTGCAGCACTGCAGCTCCAACACGGAGTGAAGTGCCCATGAACTTCTGGGAATGCACTGAATTCCTCAGCACTTGAAATCCCGGGTTTAGGAGTTCATGCAGCCCATGAGCTCTGCCCAGGGCAGGACCCACACACACTGTGCCCACAGCAGTGGGAGCTCCCAGGGCAGTGACCGAGTTCCACTCCCAAACTCCAACCCCCTGGCAGGTCACAAAGCAAAGTTTTCATGGAAATGAAAGCAAATGCTCTGTCCCCACATCATCCCCCTGGGAGCAGAGGGTGAGAGCGAGAGGTCCAGCACTGCTGGGTCCCCGGAGCATCCCCAAAGGCAGGGGAAGGGGCAGTACCTGGCACACCACAGAACTCCAGCGGGGCCGGGGGGCTCCTGCCCTGCCCAGCCCTGCCCGGGGGCACCTGGCGTTTGTAAATCCTGTGGGGCTGTGCTGCTCCCTCCTCCCGAGGGCTGCCGGACACGGGCTCGATGAAATAGTCCTCGTTCATGAGCTGGAACACACCTTTCTGCCAGGGAGACACAAATCAGCACCGTGAGGCTCCCTGAGCCCTGGGACCCCCGCACTGGGTGTGATCACAGAGTCACAGCACCACGGAACGGTTCGGGTGGGGAGGGACCTTAAATTTCATCCTGTGCCACCCCTGCCATGGCAGGGACACCTCCCACCATCCCAGGCTGCTCCAACCCGTGTCCAACCCGGCCTGGGACACTGCCAGGGATGCAGGAGCAGCCACAGCTCCTCTGGGAACTCCAGCCCAGCCCCTGCCCACCCTCCCAGGGAAGGATTCTTCCCAATCTCCCCTTTACTCCTGCCCTCTGGGAAGCCACGGAGGAGCCGCTGGAGTTGTCCTCCCTCCAAAGTGAGGGACACGAGCACGAGCAGTGCAGCACGGTTATATGGGACCGTTTCTGCAATCCCACAGGAGGTTTTGAGCCCTTTCCCCCAAAGGGCCACTCCTCCAGGTCACAGCGAGCAGCTTCAGTGCCCAGGAGCTGTGCTGTCAGCAACTCCTCCAGCTCCCAGCCCCTCGTTTCCACACGAGCTCCTCACAATCCCATTTATACAGCAGAAAGCAGAGGATTGCTCATTTCGGGAGTTCAGACACAAACAAATAAACCCATCCCCGGAGAGTTCCCAAACCACTGCAACCCATGGAAAATTTACATCCTGACCTGCGTGATGACACACTGACTCTGCTGCTGCTGGGAATTTTGGTGTCACTTTTTCGGCAGGAATAATAAAAGGGTTTCTTTTCCCAGCAGCTGCTATTCCCGTAGGGATGAAGGCTCGGTGGGATGGGGGCTGCACTCACCAGCCCATCGCAGGTGCTCAGGGCAGCCAGCCCGCCCTGCAGCGCCCGGCCCCGCACCTCCCCGATCATATGGCACGAGTTGTACGAGCGGGGCTGGATCTTGGCACCGGCGATGCCCCCGAAACGCCTCTCGCTGACAAAGCCCGGCGCCAGGAGGTGCCTGTTGAGGCTCAGGTTGAATTTCAGGGGCTGCCCTTTGTAGTGCAGCTCGTAGAAGGCGGGCAGCTTGCTCCAGGAGAGGGGAGACCGGCGGTGAAGGGCTCGGTGGGACAGGTCGTAGGACAGGAAAGATCCGCGCTCGTCCACCTTGATGGGGTGCACGATGTCGCTGCCGGGGGGCGGCTCTGGAAGAGGGGGGTGCAGTGCTTACCTGCAGGGCTCCTCACCTTTCCTCTCACACCCCTGTGCCCGCTGGGGAGCAGCGGGATCGGTCACGGGACACAGGGACCCGCCTGTCCCTGCTGCCCTCGGGCTCAGGGCTGGGCTTTGCCGGGGCACAGCGTTAAGTCAGGCTTAGGGGCAGCTCCGGAGCTCGGCTCTGCCCCGGCTAACCACGCACACGCTCCCGCTGTTAAATTCCGGCTGCCAGTAAAAAATACTAAAAAAAAAAACCAAAACCAAACCACCGAACAAACAACGAAAAAAACTCCCCAAAAAATTAAATCCCGACTTTGAGGCGGTGTCGGGACACCGTCCTTTAGGGAAAAAGCAGCCCCGGGCACGGAGCGCCCCGGAGCCTCCGCGGCCGAGGAGGAGCCGGGAGGGACCGGGAGAGGACCGGGGCGACCAGGAGGGATCGGGACGACCGGGAGGGGACCGGGAGGGATCGGGATGGACCGGAGGGACCGGGTCTGCGACTCCGGAGGCGAGCGCGGCAGCAGCGGGACCACCGGACAGTCCGGCCCCGGGAGCATCCCGCGGACACTCAGCGCTCGTTTCCTCCGCGAGCATCTCCGCGGACACCCGGTGCTCATCCCGCTCATCCCGCAGACAATCCCGCGGACACCTGGCACTCATCCCGCTCTCCCGCTCACATCTCCGCGGACACCCGGCGCTCATCCCGCGGACAATCCCGCGGACACCTGGCACTCATCCCGCTCATCCCGCGGACAATCCCGCGGACACCCGGTGCTCATCCCGCGGACACCTGGCACTCATCCCGCTCATCCCGCAGACAATCCCGCGGACACCCGGTGCTCTTCCCACGGACACCCGGCGCTCATCCCGTTCATCCCCGCCGACACCCGCGGACACCCCGCGCTCCGCGGACATCCCGCACTCATCCCCGCGGAGCCCCCGCCCGCCCCTCCCGCGGTCCCCGCCGTGCTGTCCCCGCGGACCTGTCCCCGCCGTGCCCCCGCCCGCGGCCAGCGCCAGCGCGGCGGCCACGGGGACGAGCGGCAGGAGCGGGCGCAGAGCGGCCGGGGCCGCCATGGCTGCGGCGGGCTGGGGGCGAGGGGCGGGGCCTGGGACAACGGGGGGCGGGGCTTGGGGAAGGAGGCGGGGTCAGGAACAACGGGGGGAGGGGCCTGGTGCAACAGGGGTTGGGATATGCATATTAGATGGGCGTGGTTACGCAGATCAGATAGGCGGGATTACGCGTATAAATGGGCTGGGTTATGCAGATTTTGGGCGGGGTTATGTATATTAGATGGGCGTGCTTGTAGACATCAGCTAGGCGGGGCTATGCACATTGGGTAGAACTAATGGGCGGGGTTATGCATATTAGATGGACACGGTTATGCACATTAGATGGGCGTGGTTACACAGATAGAAAGGCGTGGTTATGTACATTAAATGGGCATGGCTATGACGCCAGACAGGCGTGGTTATGTTCATTAGGTGGGTGTGGTTATGACGTTACCGGGGCGTGGTTATGCACAACAGATGGGCGGGGCTATGCTCATTAGGTAGGTGTGGTTATGTATATTAGATAGGCTGGCTTATGTTCATTAGGTGGGCGTGGTTATGCACATTAGATGGGCGGGGTTGTGCACATCTATGGGCGGGGCTTACACCACGCCTTGCCGGCCTGACCCGTGGCGCCCCCTGGCGCTCCCTTGCCGCTTTGCTTCGTCAGCCCCGCCGTGAGGATGGCGATTAAAAAATCACCAAAATTCAGCGAATTTTCCGTCAAAAATGAACAACGCTGCTTGGTTGATGCCGCCATGTTCCCCTCTCCTCAGCCGGGGCTGCCTCTTTTTATTTTTTTTTTATTTTATCCCAGGTTAAAGCGCAGCGGGATCAAACCCCCGGGATTACTCGGCGCTGTTAATGAACCCCTCGGCCGCTGCTCGCATCCCACGGCTTTCCCGGGATGGCCGCATCTCCCGGCGCTCCGCACCTGCCGGCTTCGGGATAACGTTTAATTAACGTTTAATTAGGCGACAATGTTAAATACGCGAACCAGCCGGGGCTTGCGCCCTCTGGCGGACGGAGCGGGGACTGCGCGGGGCCGCTGCCGACACCCGCGGCCGCCGCTGGGCGCGTGTGGCGCCCGGCTAGCTCAGTCGGTAGAGCATGGGACTCTTAATCCCAGGGTCGTGGGTTCGAGCCCCACGTTGGGCGCATTGCCTTTTGCTCTTTTTTTCTTTTTTTTTCCTTGTTTTCTATTTTTTTGTTTTTTTTTTTTTTTCTGGCAGGAACAGCCGCCAGGCAGCAGAGCGGAGCGGGGCGGAACGGGCAGCCCGCCGAGGACTCCATGGACTCCATGTCCGCGGAGGACTCCATGTCCCACGCAGGACTCCATGTCCCTGCATGCCCCGGGCGCGGAATCCCGCAGAGGACTCCATAATGCACTCAGGACTCCATGTCCCGCGGAGAATTCCATGTCCCGCGGAGGACTCCATGTCCCGGCACACCCCGGAGCGCGGGGGCCCGCGGAGGTCTCCATGTCCCGCGGAGAACTTCGTGTTCCGCCGAGGACTCCTTGTGCAACGCAGGACTCCATGTCCCGGCATGCCCCGGGGCGCGGAGGCCCGCACAGGACTCCATGTCCCACGCAGGACTCCATGTCCCGGCATGCTCAGGGCGCGGAGGCCCGCACAGGACTCCATGTCCCACGCAGGACTCCATGTCCCGGCATGCTCAGGGCGCGGAGGCCTGCACAGGACTCCAAGTCCCGGCATGCCCCGGGCGCGGCTGCGCGGCGAGGCCGGGCCGGGCCGGGCAGCGCCGGGGCCCCGCGGGGAGCGGCCGGAGGAGGGACCGGCCCTTATAAATGGCGCCCAAGCAGGACCCCAAACCTAAGTTCCAGGAGGGTGAGTGCTGGCAGGGCTCGGGGGGGATTCTGGAGGATCGGGGGGTTCTGGGGGTCCGGGTGGTTCTGGGCGTCCGGAACCGGGGTTCGCCTCCCAGCCCGCTGCTCGTGGCTCGGGGGGTTTGGTTCTCATCGCTCCCTGCTCTACCCCGATGAGGTGACAATAGCTGGGAAAGCTGAATTCCCGCAGCCTTTGTCTCTTCTTGTCCTTCCTTTTTCCTCCCAGCAGCACGCGGGCCTTTCCCACCCCGTTATTCCAAATATCCTCCGTTTCCCTTGGCTTTAAAACTGCCGGAATCCCTCTGCTCTGTCGCGGTTTTTATTTTCATGCGTTTGAAGGATGGTTGTTATTTATTGTCCCCTGGAAGGGAGCCCGGTGCTGGAGGATTCATGGATTCCAGCACAGCTGGAATCCACATCTGCAACAGCCCCGGGCTTTAGGTGAAAGAGGATGGATTGATTTTGTGGGAGGATTTTTCTGCGTGTGTTTCTTAGGAGGATTTTTCTGCGTGTTTCTTAGGAGGATTTTTCTGTGTACGTTTCGATTTTTAGGTAATGGTTGCGGTTGAGAGTAATATCAGTAAGATAAATAAAAATAGCAGTGCAGTGTAAGATGGATCCCCATCACTGCAACGTCCAAATCAGGGTTGGACATTGGGGTTTGGAGCACGCTGGGATGGTGTCCCTGCCCACGGGATGGGAAAGGGGACGAGCTTTGGTGTGAGGATCCAGGGACAGCCCTTGTGCGAGGGAGCTGGAGCCTGCCGGGTTATCCTGGAGACAAAGAGCCCTTCCTGCAGCTCATCCGTGTGTTTTTAAAGGTGGATATTCCTCGGTGGCTGTGGGCAGCTCTCCTGGGAAGCGTTGCAGGGCGTTGAGGCAGAGCTGTGTCTTCCAGCAGCGCTGTGACAGTGAGGGTGGCAATGTCACCTCTGGCTGTCAGCCCTGCCTGTAGGGACATTTTTAAATAAAATACCGACTGTGTGATGTGTGGGCACTTCGGGGAGAACCTTCTGAGCCTTTTCCTTGGTGGATACCCAGAATCATTTCACAGTTCTGCAGCTCATCTCCCCAAAACCGCGAGGCACTGCAGCATCCAGGAGGAAACGTGTGGCCTCAGATCCCCTGAGCTGAGCCCACTGCAATCCCCACCATGAGCCCTGGCCCCTGAGCAGATAAAACCAGGCTGAAGGACAATCTCATCCTGCTTCAGACCCCAGGGCAGGGCAGGGAGCAGCAGCAGAACCCCCCACGGGAGCCTCATCCTGGCTGCTCTTCCTGCAGGAAAAGGACAGGGGTGACAGTGGCTTTGAGGTGTCAGCTCTGGGTGCTCCTGGTGACACAGGGATGGAGCTCTGGACTGTTCCAGGGATGGGAATGGAGCTCTGGGCTGTTCCTGGTGACACAGGGATGGGGATGGAGCTCTGAGCTGTTTCTCTGCCCTTCCCTTGCAGGTGAGAGAGTGCTTTGTTTCCATGGACCTCTCCTTTATGAAGCCAAGGTAGGTGTGTGTGGCTGCAGGTGGCTCCCCTGGAACACAAGGAAATGGTTTTGTCTGCTGTGCCTCTAGATGGGACCAAGGACTGGAACTAAAATTAACAAAAACCTGTCTGAAATCAATTTTAAGCCCTGGAGCTCTATTCCAGAACGATTTCAGGAAGCCCAGTGGCACCGTGCAGCTATTCTGGTGAGCTCCCAGAGGCTGCTGGAATGTCCCAGAGCACTGGGAATGTCCCAGAACACTTTGTGCTGCAGGGTTTGGTGCCTGAGCTGCTCAGTCCCCTGCCCCTGGAGCCTCCCCAGGGGAGGTGGCTGAGGACAGCCCATGGTGTCCCACAGCCCCAGTGCCCAGGAGAAGCTGGGCTGCAGTGCCAAGGGCAGTTCTGCTGCCCAGCTCTGGATTTTTAACCCCAGCAGCCTGCACTGCAGATTTGTGGCCTTTTCCCTCGGTGTGAGTGCAGGCACAGCTCTGGGTTTGAGTGCTCCCACTGCCTCTGAAAGGGAAGGGAAGGGGAGCTGGTGCAGCTGTGTGGCTCAGAAAGTTTGCAGAAATTCCTGGGGCACCTCAGACAGGGATTTAAATCCTTTAGGATTTGTTGTCAGGAAAGGTTAACACAGGGAAAAACACTCAGCCTCTCTCTTCAGGAGAAGGAGTTGTAATGCTAAAATCACACCCAGGGAGGGTTAGGGCTGCTCCACATCCCGGGTTTTTGGGGTTCCTGGCTCTGGAGGAGGAGGGTGAGGAGGTTGGGATGTGTGGCAATCCCCAGTTTTTGTTGGGAGTGTGTGCTCAGGGCTGTTGTGCCTGCAGAGAGGAGGGTGCTGCAGGTTTTGGGGAACTCACCCTGTGCCAGCCCAGCAGCCCTGAGCTGTGCTTGGCTCTGTCCCTCCCTTCCCACAGTGCCAGGAGTGCTGCAGCATCAGGCTGTGCCAGCTGGGTGCTGGAAGGGATTTCCCAGCTCACAAGTGGTTTTTGGCTGCTTTGCACTGACTGGATCCTCCTGAGCTGCTGCACTGGCAGAATAAACTCGAAATATAATTTAAAAAAAGGTTTGGTTTGTTTATTTTAGGGGGTTTAATTTTGAAAGCTGCTTTGTCAGTAGTAATGAATAACAACCTTGGCTTTCTTCCTGCTCCTTTGATCTATTTTTCTGCCATGGTTCTCAGTCCAGCAGTTGTTTTGTTCCTGACCACGTCCTCAGTGTCCCAATTCAAGGTGCTCAGAGCAGCTCTTTGGGAGGCAAACAGGAAAAAACATTTTACTACAAAACTGTCTTTGAGTCATCTTTTTCTTGGTGCT